ACACTGTCACTACTCCTCTATCACGTGTCGGTGCAGGTCCGATGAAACACACTGTCACTACTCCTCTATCACGTGTCGGTGCAGGTCCGATGAAACACACTGTCACTACTCTATCTTTCCTGATGTATGTTTATGTCTTATCGATTCTTCTCCCTTGCTCTCCCTTCCCCAGCCCGCCCCCCCCTTCCCCCATCCTGCCTCCATCCAGTTCATGTGGCTCTTTGTGAATACTCCTGTCAGCCTCCGTCTTCAAAAAAGAAAAAAAAGAAAAAAAGCCACCCTCTTTATATTCTGGGAGGGTACCAGTCAGGTTACTTACCCCCCCCAAGCATAAGGAAGGATACCAAGACATGAAAAGAGGAAACAGTGTGTCATAAAAAAAAAAAAAAAAAGGGTAACTAAGAAGCAGCGCGAGACTAATTCAAGCACCAGGTCCTACCCTGTTGGGCTTTTGATCAGCCAGCCATGCTCCTCAGTAATTATCTGTCTTGCCACCTTATATTGCTCTAACAGAATCTAAGGCCTGGACCCCACTGCCCGGCGCCTGGAAACTGATGTTGGCCACAAAAAACGGCCAAGCGTGGTTGGAAAGAACTTGCCGCGTTCCGTTGGGACCCCACCGCTGCCCTTGACTATCGGCACTGGAAATCGATGGACATGCCCGAATAGGAAATCCCCCCGGGGTGTTTCCCGAAAAGGCAAGTCGGCCCAGGGCTGTGGTCCAGGCCCTTCTATCGGCCTGCACCAGGACATGTCCGTGTGTGGCCGTGCGCGACCCGGTGTGGCGGGTGCCGCACAGGTACCGTGCAGCACACAACGGCCTCACGCGGTCCGCTCGACCGGTGAGGCGCGACTGTGCACGAAAATGACCGTTGGGAGCATTGGCGGATGTCCCCCCCTCCCACACTCCCATCGGTACCACTTTTCCCCGACCTGGACCATCCAGAGTGGGAGTGCAGGTACGAAGCAGTGACGGGAAGCCATAGCCGTCAACGAAGGAGGAGGGTTTGGCGAGGAGCACGGGTCCGCGAAGGTAGTCCGCTCGTCAAGTGGCAACGGCAGCTAGTGTGCAAGGGTCGATGCAGTTCCCATCACAGTCACAGCGTGGCCATGTGTCCATCGGATGTTGGGAGTTCGGAGGATGAGTGGGAAGACATGATGTTCATGCTCGTTCTCCTCATGACGCAGTGGGTGAACAGGCGCAACACTGCGGCCATGGCCGTGCTTGAAGCTGTCGCCATCACCCCGTTCATGTTCCGGGATGTGTCGGGGGCGCTTACGATGCTCGCAGGGGGGGTGGTTCACGGCATGGCGTTGAGCTGCTTGGCAGAGCAGAAGTTGGGAAGACACATGCAACGGAGAAGGTGATTGTGGATGGTGGAGCGTAGCGGATGTTTGTGGAAGGACCTTCAAAGGGTGTGTGTAGAGCATGGTAAGGTATTCTTGCGGTTCTGCAGATTACTGCGACCACTGTTTTTGCAAGTTCTTCAGCGCATCGGGCCCCATATCCAGCGTTCACCTACCAATTTTCGGTTGCCTATACCAGCCGGGCAGAAGTTTGCTTGCGCACTCATTCGGTGGGCAACGGGCGGATACTACCGGCAATCCACCCACAGTTTGGGTATGGGGCTTGCGAGTGCATTGAGAAGCAACGAGGACGTCGCATATGCTATCCTCCATGAGTACGACCACCTCCTCCAATGCACTACAGGACGCTGTTTGGAAGAAGTGCTAAATTCTTTTGAGGCGAAGGGGTTCCCCGGATGCGTGGGGGCCATCGACTGCACACACGTGTACATCGATACGCCGAAGGGGACGCGGTCAGAGTGCTACTATCATCACACTGGAGAATTCTCGGTCGTCACGCAGGTCGTGTGTGACAGCGAGTGCAGAATTGTCAGTGTGTATGTCGGCTGCCCCGGGTCGGTGCACGACTCGCGTGTATTGCGGATGTCGCCATTGTACCACAACACCATGGCAAGCAGAGGTGTGTTATGCGAGGGTGGAGCTATCATGCATGATGGAAGACATGTCGGTCGTTACATGCTTCGCGACGCCGGCTACCCCCTTCTCCCGTGGATCATGACACCAATGGGTAGATTCACGAGAACTGATGCAGATCGGACATACGACGAGTGTCACGCAGCGGCGAGATCTTGTATAGAGTGGACATTCGGACGATTGAAGAGCGTATGGAGGAATTTCATCCGCACTCAAATTGCAAACTTGGAAACCCTGCGCAAGGAATTCATGGCTGTGTGCATACTACACAACCTCATGATTGAGCACAGGGTGGAGATCGACCCGACAGTGTTGAACCACAACAGCGACAGTGACGGGGAGGGTCCGCCACTCAACCCCTGTCCCTGTCGCCGCCGCCACGTCATATTCCTGACCTCAATATCGAAGCCATGCCGAAGATTGATCCCAGTTATGGCTCCCACCTCGGAACGAGGGTCAGGGCTAGCTTGATTGATTATGTGGCCCATCATGTCGATGTTCATGGTGCACCGACGCCATGTCCGTGGCGATAGTGCAATCGTGGATGTATGGTGGTGGGATTGTCGGAGCCGGCTGCCGATCACATGTGTGTGTGTGTGTGTGTGTGTGTGTGTGTGTGTGTGTGTGTGTATGTGTGTGTGTATGTGTGTGCGTGTCCGTGTGTGTGTGCGTGCGAACCTGTTCTACCGAACAACTGTGGCTTTTATTACGAAGGAGAAGATTCCGCGAAATCTCTCTCTCTCTCTCTCTCTCTCTCTCTCTCTTTCTCTCTCTCTCTCTCTCTCTCTCTCTCTCTCTCTTTCTCTCTCTGTCTCTCTCTCTCTGTGAGTGTATGAGTGATTGATATTTTATTTGTACGTATGAGTGATTGATATTTTATTTGTGCTCCCTTTTTTTTTATGATCTGTTATCCTCAAGTGCTAACGTGACGACTCTGACGAGGAGTCTGTGCCCGCCCTCCACTGTGCACCGCTGTTTCCCCCACCCCCGCGCCTCGCAAGAACCCCCACAAACATTTCAAGGACGGTGTTCCCCCCACGCATGGCATCTGCGACGTCACCAATCTTCGCTGCAATCGCTGAGCCGGCCTCCGACTTTGCCTTCGCCAGAGTGGTAGCGACCTTATCCAGACCTTCGTTGTACGACCGTGTTGTGTCCTCCATCGCCCTCCCCAATACTGTCCCACCGCTGGTCGTGCCGTCCATCCTCGCTTTGTCGGTATTCGTCCTCCGCGTCTTCGCTGCACTGTTGGAATCTTCCGTTGCTCTACCATCGGAACTACTTTTCCCCGATGAGGGTTGTGGTGGACCGGTCTCCGTTGATGGCCCTCCCGCGTTACCCGGCAGGTTCTTTGACACCAGCGTGTTGTTACACTTGATGGAGGGCCAATTCACTTGCCACTCCATCACTTCCCACAACACTTTCTCAAAGCCTACTGACACCTGCTCCGCCTTCCGCTGCTCCATAGTCATGTCCAGTATGAAGGTTTGCCCGAAGCATTCTCACACTTGTCGAGAATCAACTTCCCTGCAGCCATCATGCCCTGCCACTTCTTACGACAATCCTCCGCCGGCCTGTGCGGAAACCCGTGATCCGCCATTCGATCGTGCACCCACTCATACCGGTCCTTCCTCTTCTTGAACGGATGCTGGCCCTCAGCGTCGGCCATGAGGGCGTCATCCTTGGCCATCAATCTCGACAGTGTGATCCTTTCCTCCAAGCTCCATGGGATGTTCTATTTTTTGTTTTGGCAGCACCATCTTTCCCCCCCCCGCTTTTTTCCACGCCTGTTGCTTTGGAGCCCGACCACATTCTGCCCTCCATCTATCTGCCCAACACTGTCTCTGTCGTCTTGCACGTTGTCGGAGTTCTATGCATCAGTGTCACCGCCATCACCTTCACCTTCGTCATCGTCAACATACAGATCTTCGTCGCCAGTAGAGGAACGGCCTTGCAACCCGGCAGGCGACGAAGCAGTACTGTGCACGGGCCATCCCTCACCCATATCCTCTCCTTGCACATCTACCATTGAAGGCGAAGGCTCGGCAGCAAACCGCCTGACTGACATGGGCGATGGGGTGGACATTCTGCCATGCAGCGCCTGCGACGTCTGTCCGCACTGCGGGGACCACTGTCAATCATCCCTCATTACTCCGCCCGTTTCCACAGTGTGTTGGGTGGGGTACATGTGCGTGGCAATGCCATACCCACCGCCGACTGGGAACGTGTGTGGACCAGGGATGCCATACCCACCTCCATCCTGTGTGCAATATGAGGCTTGGCCCGTGTGCACGAGGCCCGCATGCAGAGTGTGTAGAGATGGCTGAACATCGAACCGCCGACGTGCACCTGCGGCATGGAGCAGTGATGGAGAGGGCAGTGGAGCAGGTGGGACATCAATCGGCCCGACCCGCAGACCCTCATGCAACTGGCCACCAAAGGATTGTGTCGTCGCCGGTGAAGGGGAGGAGTACGGGACAGATCCTTGCATAGGCATGTCGCGGGACTGGAATCCCCCATTAATGCCTGCACAGGGATCTGTCGTCGACCGATACGACTCCATTTCGCTACGAAGCACCAACAACGAAGGCAACACCACGTACTGCTTCCTCCAAGAACACCCCTTCGGTGCTATCTCCAAGTCGTCGAAAGGATGATGAGGACCACAACCACGACTACGAAAACAGCCTAAGATGGTTTTTTTCGTCGCCCGCCTCCGCTGCACTGCGGCTGCAGTGGTTGTTAATGACAACATCCACACAACAACTTTGATGGCACCGGTCACATCCACACAGGCGACGATAGCGTTCGACGACTGGCATGTGGCGAGTGTGTGGATGAGGATTTATAACCACACCCTCATCTGCAGCCCATCCCTGCCCACATGTGCTGGGGTTGCTCTCTGGCGAGGACAAACGAGCGCTTTGGCGAGGTAGACGAAGAAGTGAGAATGGCAAGGGAGGTAGACGATGGAACATGAAATGTCTCACGGCCACAACACGGGAGAACAACATCGGTCTGCACGTGTGTGCGTGCGCGCACACCGGCAGCGCAGGTTCTCGTCCGCGCATTCCACACACGCTGCTCGCCACACAACCCGCAACTTCATAATGCAAGCCCCGGCCAGAGACCGCCTGACGACACCACCCGAAATGGCTTCCCCATAGACAGGCCTCGCGACTTGCATGCGCGAAGGAGATGAGCGTCGAGCGATGGCATCATGCACGGATTCCGCAGGGCAGGAGGGTTTAATGGAGGTGTCGGCGACGGCAAGCTATCGGAATCGCTGCTCATGCTCCCCATGCACATGCAGGAAAAGAATGTTGCGATTGCATGGCTGACCTTCATCCTCAGCCCGCCAAAAATTTGAATTTTGAATGCTGCAGCATGCCGTTCGTAAACTGAGGGGATGGCCCAGACCCCCGGGCCCTTGGGGGAACTGTGCGACGACAAAAAAACAAGAGCATGTCCGTGGCGGCCTCCCAGTCCAAAAAACGGTCCACGATGACGGTGTGTGTTCCACGTCGTCCAGCCGTTTTCTGGAAACGGATGGACATGCCCCCCCTCCTATTCGTCTGGATGCCTCCTTGGAAAGGGAATGGAAAGTGGTCGGCGTTGAATTTCCAGACCGCCGACCGAGTAGAAACGCCCCATCAGCATTTCCGTGACCTGCTTGAAAGCACAGTGGGGTCTGGAATTCCCCTCCGGGCCTACTTTCCACACTGGTTTCCAACACCTGTGGGGTTTGGAAAACACTACATCACCTAAACTTTTCCAGGCCGTCGGCCAGTGGGGTCCAGGCCTAACTCATAAAGGAAAACCGACATTTCAAATCAATGGGACCAAAGAAAAACCTGAATAGATGGAGCCTTCAATCTGGAGACTTGCTTAATTAAACCACCAGTACTTCCTAAAGTCGTGCCCGTAAACAAGCCACAAATTTAGGAAACGTACGGGCCACTACAGGAGCGCCCAAATTCATCCGATTAGAAATGTTTCTACTCTATTATTATTTTTTCGGCGGCCGATAGCTGGGCCAAGTACTGTAATGGGGATGCTCTTATCACCCTGGTAAATAAGACACCCTGGCCAGAAAGTTAATAATAATAATAATAATAATAAAACAGCCTACGTCTTCTCGTGTTTCAGTTGGGGATACCCTTCAACATAGTCATTAACGGGTTGTACTATGAGGAGTACATAGTTCCCATTCGCTCCTGGGCCAACTTTCATATGGTAATATCCTATAGGCTATAGGATACCTAACACGCAAACAAATGCATAACACATAGACACAAGCAGGTCCAAGGGCAGAGAGGGGCAAGTCGATATAGACAGCCTGTTTCGCTATGATACGGATGACTCCTTTTTTTTTTTTTTTTTTTTTTTAAGCCCAGGTTGTTGTAGAGGTGGGATACTAGGCAACTGACAGTTACCCACAGTACTTGGCCACTCGGTTGTTTCATATGAACCCCTCTGAAGACCCCACCCAGGTTTCCTATCGTCTTTTTGCCCTTGCGCACCTCCACCCTCCCTATCCTACACTAGTGTTAACCACCAAGGACCATCACCCATCACCATCTTGGCGGGGTAACCTGACCAGACAGCGGTTACAGGCACCCGGGCTAAGCAGAGACCCCTACCCCCTGCTCAGCACCAGTTGAAGCAGACGCCTTTCAATCCCTATTGCAGGAGGACTTCGGGAGATAGGCATGAACATGCTACTACAGGTGGCCTTCATCATGGTGCACAATGACTCTCATCTAGCACAATATACTTAAGATCGTAGTTCATAGCCTAGTCCGTAGGAGGATTGATTCGATACCCCTAGTTGATAGGTAAGTTGATGTCCTAGTTGATAGATGAGTTGATATCCCAAGTGATAGCCTAGTTACTAGGCCAGTTGTAGTATGAGACACAAAGCTGAAGATCCTTCGTTCCCTTGTAGTTTCTTAGCCATTACTACCTTAGGGTGACAACTATGCCAACCACACTACTTTGGACCCTGGACCAGTACCTGGAGCCCGTTCCGGTACCCCAATTAGATAAGTCTGTACTAAGGTGACAACTCTGGCTGTGACAAACTGTTTTCTGCAACCGCGCGATTTTCTGCGCAAGGCTACTTCGGGGGTTGAATCGGGAGGGTCCGCGGGATTACATGGGTACCCTTGCTTTTCTTGTTTTTCGTAATCGAGGCCGGGGTAATCTTGTGACGATTGGTAGCTGACCGCGCCTTAGCGAGCGAGAAAGATAATTGTTGCCATAACTTCTTTCTTGTTCTGCTGTGGGAAATTAGAATTTTGGTACAATCGTCGCGCGGGAAAATCTTTTTGAATTTTCAACTTATGTCGAGCCCCTGTGGGCTCTCAGAATTTGCTTCGTTCGAAATTTCTTTTTGCAATTAGGATTTAGATTAGGAATTTAGGCGCGCCTCAATTTTTGTTGCACAATGCTCCTTGCTTGCGCACGCTTTGCCCCATCAGGACCTGTGTTCTGACTTTTTTGCGCCTTAATCCTTACGTGTAATTGTAACTCCTGTTTTGGTGGGCATAATTGCAACTGTAATCCTCCCGTGCGCTCATACTTCTTCCTCTGTCCTATTGGCCCGAACGCTTGCATGACTGGATCGATGTGTGGAGTGAGGCTACGTCCCCCACGCCGCAGCCTGGCCATGCAGACGTAGGCACTTCCTTCCTCCTCCTTCTTTTTCCACTCAGGCACAACCTCGGGTATCTCGCGCAAACACCCATGCTATAAATTTCACAAGCGCGATTAACTCGCTCTCTAAGAATTCTAGGAGTTAGCGTGGTCGAGAGGATCGGCTAACGAGCAAGAGTTGGAAGGTGAGTAGAGAGTTAGGCGATCCGATGAGCTGGTGCTGGGCATGCGAGGTTGACGTGGGGCCGAGACGGACTATGGCGCACGGGCGAACCTGACTGGCATGTTCGGACTGAGCGGGGTGACAACTCTGTGTGGGTACGAGGCGACGGATTGCCCGCATCGGGATGTTCTCAAAAGAGAGAGAGAGAGAGAGAGAGAGAGAGAGAGAGAGAGAGAGAGAGAGAGAGAGAGAGAGAGAGAGAGAGAGAGAGAGAGAGAGGAGATATGTTGTGGTGATGTTTCTCTTCCATCCTTTTGAGCAATTTTTCTATTTGGTGGGAGTCGCCCTTGTCTTTTTGTTTGATCGACATCTCAGATTTTTCGTTTTCCTTGCTTCCTTTCTTTGGAGACTGAAATGTGGATTGTCTTTTCCCACTCTCCGTTTGTCTTTTCGAATCGACAAATCTGATTGATTGGTTACCTGCGATCGAGCCTTGTGTGATCTCTGGGCTGATTGGGCAAAGATTTGTTGCATGATCCTCGATTCCTTCTAATTGTATGTAAGCTAGATGTATGGATGATAGGCATGATTCTATCTGTGTATGAATTAGATAAGCATGCTAAACGATTAGATGACCGTCTCACTATAGGATGATCCATCTCGCGAACCGTTGGCTTTCACTTATCTAATCGAAGGACAGGTCCCTCTCACGCACGTGTAGGCTCAACCGAAGACGATCGTTGCCTACACGCGCGTC